GAGCAAAACATCGACTCAAGACAATCAGATAGAGATGTATTTCATGCAAACAACCAAATGCATTTCAAATAATGATAGTGTAATAACAAATTAAGCTTTTTTATCACAACATTCACTTTCGTGTCAGAGATTTTAGGATTCAATTTAGAAGAAACGCTTATTTCAGCTTGAGATGGACTTAAATGACCTTGGCGATCCGATGTCTTTGATTGTGAATGGCTTCTCACTGAAGGATGTGATGTAAGCCTCTGCCTCGGGGTACAAAAGAATATCTCCGAGGGAACCCCCACCACCATCATTCATGGAAGACATTTCTAATCTGAAAGAGAAACAATGTCTTCAAAGCCATAATTTGCAGCTTTTCTCTTTTCCCATCAAGTATTATTGCTTTTCTGCCAGTATAAAATCAATTATTACTCAAACTATCAGTGCCTCGTGCCTAACTGACATCCAATGCATGCCTTATTTTTGTTTCATCATACTGGAGCCCCCGATACTTGACATCAACTGTCCCAATGACAAGACTTAGTCAACTCTACAGACGACAGAAAAACCTTCAAACTCAACTTTCGAAAAAAGAAAAATTCAGTCACACACGGTACAATTCATTCTTCCTATTTAAAACCATTTTTTACAAGCTATACGAAGAAATTATACAAAATCAACGACAAAAAGTCTCGCATTTTCAAATCATATACAAAAACGTAGCCCCTATAATTGCAACGTTGACTGACCATCTCTTTGATCGCGACACAAAAACCTATATCTTTATCACGCCACTGTTTTCACTTTTCAATGTCACTGTCGATGAACATGGAATAGTGCCTGAATCCGAAAAGGAGTGAAATTGCGAGCATGGTTAAGGCCACCATCTTGTTATATCTTCCCAACAGTCGAGCACCCACAGCAACGAGCAACACATATCCCCCGATAGTCTTAACTTCTAAGGGAACTTTCTTCAAAAGCGAGGACAATATTTTGGGAACGACGCCTAAAACATACCATTTTCAGAGCACATCATTACTACCACATCATATACTATCCGTTCCTACCTCGTGCAAGACGCTAGCCACACAAAAAGCTGTCGTGAATAATAATTTAATGAATTTAAGCCATAAAATCAAGTAAAACATGATATTGATAGTACAGTAAATGATCAAAAACCACATATACGTAAGAAAATTCCTGGTTTAAGTATTTGTAATACTGATTAAAAAAGGCACAATATCAAGCCCATTAAGCACCATGTTTTGAATATGAACTATTTGGCAATAGACCGTATCAAATTTATTCATTCCCCCGTTGCACTTCAAAAATCAGCCCAGAAGCTTATTAAATAATAAAAACAAAAACTAGATGCAAAACGTCCAGTGCAGATAAAAGGGCTGATTTATGCAAGCAATTCGTTCCTCAAATTTGAAGCCAAATTACAAGAACACTCTTCACTCACTATCATTGAAACGGAAAATGATACTCATGATTCCTTGAACGGTCAAGCCGATAAGGTGATCTAACCACATACTACACTTGGTTTACAACTCCGAAAAGTCTTTTATGTTGGCATTTTGAAAGTCATTGGTGTCATCCTCGATTCCATCATCGCCCATATTATCAATTTCTCCATTATTCGCATACTCTATTTTATCATCTATTGGTGGTTTCCTCTCCACTTTTTTACTCCGTTTAGGCTTCATCGATTTAGCGTTCATTTTTTCAAGGTTAAAGTACACAGTACCATCATCACCCTCCGAGGACCAATCCGAATCATCGTCAGATTCCTCCGACTCATCATCCTCACCTTCCTCGTCATCCTCATCCGAATCGCTTCCGATCTTTCGACACCCCCTCGGACGCTCCTGGTCCACATCACTTCCACCGTTCTCTTCATCAGCCTTTTCCTCCTCTTCCTCGTCCGATGGGATCAGTTCATATCCCTCGGCACATGCGGTAACTGTACAGTCTTTTGCCAGGAATCCCGTACATGGTCCACCATTGCAAGCTGGGTGGCACTTTTCACATTTGAAGTATCCAGGGTAGTTATCACAGAACTCTCCTTCCACGCATGGGCTAAAGTGAAGCAGAAAATAACATCAAAAGGATTAACAATTTCAAAACGAGCAGCTAACGAACAGCAAAGACACCTGCTCACAGCCACACTGTATTTGGACCAAGTTAACGTCCTCCTCCCATTCTTTAAGGGGGCGTTAACGTAGTTCTGGGTGGGAATAATCAGAATCGAAAATTTCAAAAGATCTTAATTTCGTCTACTGGGTGGGTGTTAACTTGATGTGAGTGTTTTTTGCATCCCACTTATGTAAATTAGGGTCATATTGGCGATCATGATTGAGCGATTTGGCAGACACTGATCATAAAGCATCACTGACCAACACTTTCATCAACCCTTGTATGTTTTGCAACACTGATCATAAAGATACAAGTGTTGTTTGAAATCTCTTTTCACGCAAGATAACACAAGGTATGCTAACTTGTGATTGTCAAGGTCGTTGCATTCGTCTATATCTCTGCACATGGTGAATGCATCTTCCCCTTCATCACGTGTGTATCCCTTCTTGCACTCATCGCAGAACTTACCCTGGTGCCACGAATCACACTTGCAGTCGCCTACAAATAGAAATAAAGGCTCCTTTTTGAAGAAATTCGTGTCAGTGACTATGTTCAAATCTCTCGATAATTTAACTACTTATCATGCATTTTTGGCTATTTAAGATGAGAAAAAAGGAAAATTTATTTCAGAAAAGAGAAAAAGTGTGTTCAGAAAAATTTCAATGACATCACTACAGACAATCTAAGACTTCAGTGTGTAATTAGGATGTATCTTTTAGACCCGGTAGATGATAAATTACATTTACCAGTTCCGGTCCTCGTGCCATTTCCACTGCAGGTGCCATGATCGAAACAGATGGTCTTCGGGTCAGTACTGTGCGCGAAGTCCTCGTGTCTGACTCTGCATGGCAGACAGTCTGGTCCAAAGTGGCCATAGGCACAACAGTATTTGAGAAGTGAGACACAGAGATAGTCTTCCAGTTCACTGTTTCCTTCTGCGTTCAGATGGTCCCAGTGTGAGAACCAGAAACTCTCCAAGTCATCTTCTACCTAATGCAACACTTTCAAACTTTATCCTTAACCGGCTAATAGAGCCAACAGACAGTTGGAAAAGAACCCATGAACACAAGAAAACAAAAACTGAATGGTTTTTTTAATTCACAAGTTGAAAACATATGTTCTTTTAAATCTCTTATTTCAAAACCAATTTATGATTGACGCTTTTTCTGATAAAAGTAACTCAATTTGATAAAAATGGATCAATAGGTGAAATTTTTATTCCGCCGAGAAATCTGAAAATTAGAAATCGATCATGTTTTTTGTCAACTTTAAACTTTAAAAAAATCAAACAGCGAAAAATTAAAATTTAACGTGAACCAATTTTAAGACTTTTCCTGGAAAAAAAACATCAGGACCTAAAGTCTTCACTACGTTCATTGAACCCTTACAAGATTTTAAGAATCAAATTAATGTTTTGTTTGCATACAATTTTGCGGTGTATTTATCGAAGAAACCTCGAGTGAGTTTAAGTGACTTTTCCTGAAAAACAAAAAATCACGACATTTATAAGAGTCTCCACTGCTTTCATCGACTCTTAATCAAATAAAATGAACAATGAAGCTACTAATCCATCAAAAATAAATGAGGATCACTAAACGTAAGCTGAACACAATTACCTTCGCTATTTGAGGCGATGGTCAGACTAGTAATCTCAAAACAAATGGTCAACAGAAAACGCAGCTACACCCTTGTTTAATATACCTGTACGTTCTGTCAACAAAAGGCTTTTGACATCCTAACAAGTTCTGACGACTCAATATGACCTCTACGTGTCTACATACCTTCTCTAGCATTCGGCTAATTTTGTCCTTCTTCGATTTGAACATCTTGTCCGTGATCTCAATCAGTCTCAGTTCACTCTTTCGATAGTCCTTCAGATTCTTCACCTCCCATGCAGTGTCGCCTCCTTCATACAGTCCCGTGTCAGTGGCCCTGAACTCATCCATAAACATGCCTACCATTTCCCTACACTCTTTGCAGCTATCTTCTATCTGCTGTGACGATTTTGACTTAGCATGCACAGTCATAGGGAAGGTCAGCAGCAGAATTGAGAAGAGAAGTGACGAAAATAAAACAAAGTTCAGCCGGTTGAGGGGAAAAGTGAGTTTGTTGTTCACTCTCCCCACTTGAGACTGAGATTGCGAGAAAAGCATCGTTAGCCACGACAGCCCCAGAGAGCCCCGCATTCATCAAAAATCTGAAATTCCAATCTTACACTTATTCAATGGAACACAGAGGTGCAGCCAAGCTTCGCACCACTTGTAATGCAACAACTAAAGAATTAAAACAGCAAGGCGCCCAAGAACTATCTAAGATGACTTTGAACGATTCTACCGCTGAAGAAAAAAAAACAAGAAAAACAAAAGATTGAAAGTAAAACGTTTTGTTTAAATTTATTTTTTTAAGAGTTCAAAGTGAGGTTGATTTTGAGCATTCAAAAATTTGGGGCCAGAGTCATATTGATCTCATGAATATTATCGTAAATTTGTAGGAAACAAAATATTAGGTAAATAAGCCGACAGAATCAAAGCCGACAGCCAATATGCTGAATGTCAGACAAAATGTTTCGGCAAAATCGTATTGAAAAAAACAAGTACTACCCAAATAGTAACCACGACTGCCATATATGTACTAAATGCAAGTTGGTATACACCATTCGGAAACTAAACCGAGAGCTTAATCGACAACCATAACGCCGAATACCCATCAGCAAAAACGTAATACCGATATCTTATAATTATACATACAATTAGATCTATCAAAATGAAAAAAAACATGCCCACACAAAAGAATGTAGAAAAAGCATCGGAATTAAAATTACCACGCGGTAAAAAAAAAGCAAAAAAACCTGAGCAAATAACTTTCGTGCCGAAAAAACCAAAAAAATTCCTAACTAATAAAAACATATTAAGTCCCCCTTCCCCTCAGAACACGCACACAAAAACCTTTTTCGCTCATCAAATGACGCAATAAGAGGCTACTAAGTCGATATAAAAAAGGCAAAACCTATCAAGCCGAAAAAAGCAAAGTCGAAAACCTTATAATAAGAACTACTACCAAATACAAAAATTAATTCTAAGGTGTAATTTACACAAGGAAAAAAGCTTTGAGCGAGCAAAATTAGAAAATACTACCAGACACAAAAATCGATTCTAAGGTCTATCCCAGAAGTTTTTTGCGGTTACTTACTACTTACGAAGACTAAATTTGCTTAAAATTAAATCTTAAGCTTCATGTGCATAAAATAATTTCACTATATTTTTCCCGTGAAAACACTAAGACAGTTCGCAAAATGTTAACGAACTCAAAGAAATTTTTAGCTTTCAATTTTAGATGGAAAAAATTACACTAACATAGAACTCTTTCAGTTACAAAGAATTGTTTTTTTTTATATTTTCGATAAAGCCAACCCACTGGATCAATGGAAAAATGTTCAGTGTTAATGAACTGATGTTACCAAAAAAGACCAACGGTCTCATCAAGATAGGTCTCTTTGGATTTCAATAATCTTTGGAAAAGTGTTCAGTGTCGATGAACTGATGTTAAAAAAAAAGACCAACAGTCTCATCAAGATAAGTCTCTTCGGATTTCATGTATCTAACTATTTTGCAGAAACATAGCCAACAGACAGTGGGAAAAGAACCAATGAACGCAAGAAAACAGAAAAAAAACAGAGTTATTTTTTTAAACCTCAACTTTTGAGGAAAATATAAACTTTAAATTTGAAATATGCACTTTATGATTGACCTGTTTTGATGCAATTAAGCTATTTAAAGAAAACTGGATCACTATAAAAATTTTATTTTCCTGGAAAATCTGAAAATTAAATTCCATTTTCGAAACTTGAAGTCGATCACGTTTTCAGTGACTTTTACACTTCGCTGTTCGGTAGTGGAGTTTGTCTTCCTTTTAACAAAGGAAATGAACTAAAATTAGGAGAAAACAAAAGTCAAACTGCAAAAAAAAATACATTTTGAGCGTGAATAAATTAAGACTTTTTACAAAGAAAAATCTAAAAATCTAAAAAAACAACGAAAAATCATCAAGACCCATATTCCATATAAGAGTCTTCACTATGTTCATAGACTCTTAAAATCATTTTTCAATGAGAATTCTTTAACTTGTTATAGACAATTGCGTTGCCTGAACAAAACGTAAGGCATATACGGGTATTCGATTCACGTACATACTTTGTCGAAATTTAATTGACTGAGACCAGAAGCGGATTCAGGAGGGACGACAACTCCCCCCTCAGGGATTCGACCCCCTCACTAACCAAGGAATCCTTTCTTGGGTACTATTTTATAAGATGCATCGTCCAGCAAACCGGCCGGTACAGGAGATTTTGGCAAGATACGGTCTTCATAGTATTTTAAAGAAAGCCCGAATTGGCCGACTTAAAAAAAAAGAGGCTAAATGTTAGAACTTTTTCGTTCAAAATTCGCCCCCTGGAGAAAATCCTCAACCAAAATAGGGACTTTAATTAGTTGCCTCAAATAAAGATGACACGGAAGATTCAATTGTGCACAAATTCCTGTCATGAACAATTTTCGAAAAGTTGAGCAGTGTCTTTCATTTAAATTAAAGCAGACCAGAAGATTTTTCAAGACAAAACCTCATGCGCTTCACAACTTTTTTCATAAACACTTCAAACCGTTTCAAGATCAAGGATAGGCTCAAAACTAATGGCTACATATATTTTAATTAAATATCGATATTTATTTGGCAAGGGATCAAATGAAGGAACACAACACTTCAGGAGCTTCCGATGTTATGCATTGAAACTGCTCTGAAAAGTTATTTTGAAATAAGTTGTTGCGAGCATCAATACTGTGGCGCCACTCGACATAACTGATGCTGCTCCCGCATGTTTCATCCCACGAACTGGCACTGGTTCACCTGCAAGCAAACCTGTCTAATTATCTTTAAAATGATACTCCTCAAGTTACACTCAGTAAAATGATTCAATTCATGGATATACAGTTAAAGCAGACATATAAAAGCCGCCTTTTTCTGTGTTTGCTAAATTTATTTCTAAAATTACGAAAAGTCATTCTTTGAACTTTTATATATTTTCTGCCCAAAAACAGTTTATTAATAATATCATTATTTTAGGCTAAGAAAACGTGAGCAAGTTGCATTGAGATATCAATTCGTATTTATGAAATCATATGAAATATAAGTTGGTTACCGCTTGGGTTCGCTGTGGTTATGAGTGCGCAAGTAGTCGAAGAGACTAGAAGGTATCCTGGGTTGCAACTGCACGAATATCCACTCACTGCATTGATGCACACTTGGTCACAAGGATTAGTGTTACACTCGTCTAAGTCTGCGAACAACAAAGTTCAGTTTAAGAAGCTATCAGCAATCAAACTGAAACAAACAGACTAGTTATGAAGGAAGCCACAAGCCAGTACTTGACCGAACGCGCAAATCGAAATCTCTACGTTGATCTTTCTATGATTCTTCATAGTATGAAAACAGCATTAAACCAACTTACACGAACATAGCCAACATGCAGAGTCAACGCAATTACAGGAGATCAATTAAACCGGGAAAAAAAATCTTTGAAAAATAAAGTTTTCTTTTTTGAGTTAGATAACATCGCCTTCAAGCTCTTTATACTTGAAAGAAAATTTCTCATCTGACGTTTTCCTAGCAAAACTTACCACTTAAAAACTGGGTTAAAAGTAACTTGCTCATTCCCCAAGAAAATCTGAAAACTGACATAGAGGCAAAGCTGAGCCTCGCACCAATTGCGATACACAAAGCCCACGAATTGAAAAAAAAAAGTTGATAAAACGCCAAAAAACACCCGAAATTTTCAAATGTTTGTTTTTGATGAATCGTGTCACACATTGCGCCAGAATACAGTCAATGGAAATGAAGACAGAAAAAATTTATGAAAAATATAACTTGAAATAGTTGAAAAAACTACAAGTACAAATAACTTCGTGGTTGCATCGGATGAAGTTCATAAACAGCTTAAAAACAATTAGAAATTTATCACTGAGCGGCAACAAAGGCCACAAATTTTGGGTCAAAATCTGTTGAGCCGAAAACAAAACGGTTGTCTATACGCATATATTTTGCCCTCAAAATTAAGCAATATAAGTTGACCAGCCGAAATAACAAACTGTTTAAACATTTGTCATAGTGCTAAATCAGTATCTAAGTCTATTTAGTCCTGGGTAGTTCGTTTTGTCAATCATTTCATTTCTTCAATGCTTTAAAAATGAAGAAAAAAATTACGCAAAATCAGACTTGATAAATTTACTAATTACTAAACTTTCAGTTATAGTAACAAACTGTTTAAACTGAAAAAAAGCATATACTTTAAAAAATAATTTAAATATAATAATATATCACTCAACCCAGTCCGATGATTATTTGTGGTAACTGGTTTGGCGTGGAAAACAAAAAACTAAAACACACCCGAATACAAAGTTCCTCCCCATTTTCAATGTTCGGAACAATGTGAATCAACCAAAATTAAAAACATATTTCGAAAACTTTTTTCCCACGAACGAGAACATACTAGCCTTCCACAAAAAAACTCCCAGCTTTACATGAGCAATTTATCCAAAAACTGATAAGCTGAAAAAAATCATAATATCGTTATGTATAATAAATGAAACACATTTCGCATGACAATCAATAAGTTTTTGTAACTGCTGAATGTTATAACTTTAGAAGAATCATACTCCCAGCACTCCGAAAAAGCATTCGATTAACCTAGTTGGAAAGGAATGACCGGCAACGAGCACCGCTTTCTAATGCCAAAAAAAGACATATAACAGGACAGCCCGCGCTTATGTAGCCATAACCCGTCAATTTAATTTTTTGGATTATGATGAAACATAGGACCTTATTTCAGATCAAATCGACTATAGAATGTATATATCTCAAGATAACTCTGTCCCGAAAAAGGCAAATGAAACGAACAAAAAAAAACGTTTAGAAAATCGGCCACGTTTTTTAGATTATGCCCCTTCAAGTATACCCTCATGACTGGCCTTACCCACAAATCAAGAGACGAGCAAGCTCTATTTCCAGTCAAACCTTCCTTGCTATAACCAAACTTAGAAAACCCATATAATTTTTTATTAAGTCTTCGTTATTATTCTCAAATAATAACCATTTAAAAGTTTGCAACGTTGGGGCAATGTATTTTCGGGTCGAAACTCGTTTTGCCTGTGTCGCTACAAAATATGGTGGGAAAAATTCATTGTTAACGTAAATTACTGCTTGAATTAGTTAAGATCTTCAGAACAGTTTGATTAGTCTATTTGCAAAAGCTTTTTTGGTTAGCTATATTTGAAATTATTCAAAGGCTCTTAACTAACCCAAGCAGTAATTTATGTCTAGCAATGAATTTTTCCCAACGAAATTTACAGCGACACAGACGGAGCGAGATTCAAATCACAGAATACAGTATCAACGTTTCTTGTTGCTACAAATCACCAAATGAAAAAATACCATAAGGGAGAAAAACTGAGTGCAAACGCCATTGAAAAAGACCATTGTTGGCCAGTCTCCTCGTACAACCATATGTTATCTAAATTTAATTCGTATAAAACAGCACTGGTGGCGCTATTTAGCCGCGTGAAAAATGCCCAGGGCCCAAATACTGCAAATCAATTAGGACATTATGAAACAACATCTACATGACACCGAAGAACCTGTCAAAAGTCTGAACAAACATGAAGCATAGAAACTACGACCTAACATCGATCTAACTGAAATTGTTCAACTCTAATTAAACTTAAACTTGAAACTTTCAGCAAGCCCGGTTGTGTGCAACCCATTCTGAGTTTCATTTATATTATTGTTTCTCGCATTTGGTTTTGAAGTATTTATTACAACACAATAAGATTCCACAACTAACCACTATATACAAATTATAAAAACCATGGCCGGTCGGGATGCAAGTAGCACAGAAGGTTCCGGCCATATTCATAAACAAAACTAAACGTTTTTCGTTTCTTTTTTTTTCAAATTGAAGTAGAGGTTTGTATGCGATATGATAACAGAACTACATAAATGTAAATAAAATTACTGAATTAGGTATAATTGGCAAAATTTGTCAAAAATGAACCATCAAAAAATGAAAAATCAAAAAATCACAGAAAATTTTTTGCCTAGGTAGCGCTAACTGTTTCGTTTTTTGTAAAATCAAGCTTTCTTAGCTTAAAATTTTTAGATAACGAGATTAATCGATCGCTTTACACGCTCGAAATTAGGCAAACTCAAAATTTAAAACCGGTTTTTCTCGACACTGAGAAAACATTCAAATATCGTTTGTTCAACGGCTGAATTTAATATAATATATCAATTATGTTTATAACACGATGAATATTTGTGATACCTAATTTTTCGTGGAAAAAAAACAAAAAAACTAAAACACACCCGAATCCAAAGTTCCTGTCGATTTTCAATGGTCAGAACAAAAACTTTCTTGTCAGACTAATACAGAATAAGATATCATTAAATTAATCTCAGAATAACCTCGCATTTCCAGTAATCGTATAAATCTATCGTGACAAGGAAATAAGAGTAGGATTACGATCAGTATTGGAAGAAGTAAATGCACAGTCCTACTCAGAAAATAGATAACGTGACACACATACGGTTTAGTCTATCTGAAATTACCCATCATCTATCTATGAGATATCAAACCGAACCCATCTCAATTGAGACATATTCGTGTGCTATGCATACACACCACGACACACAGATGGGTTTGATGGACTGACTTCATATCCAGCAGGACATGTGCACACGAATGAGCCAGGTACATTTGAACAGGTGGCCAGCCCAGAACACGTGTCCGTTCCCTCCTCACACTCGTTGATGTCTACAAGAAAGACAAAAAACTAACTGCTTCTGACTATTCCTCCAAATAAAGCCACAAAATTGACTCCGCAGCTGCGTGTAATTGAATCGATAACTTTTAGCACAAACATACTTTGAGATTCTTAAAGTTGCAACTCGATTGAGCTTTACGCGAATTACTCAATTTCATTATTAAAATGGACAAAAAGTTTAATCACTTCTTCATTACGAATACACATTTTCCTCAAAACCAAGGGTACATAAAAGATTTTTTCGAAGTGGGGGCCAACTTTCAAAAAAAAACGGGTTGACTTTTTAAAGGTAGACAAAATTGATTTTCCCAGTTTCAATCTTTTGGCACTTTTTGGAAGACTGATTTAAAAAATGCGTTTTTTGTGGCGCGCTCCCCTCAAAGTTAGTTTAGAATAACCTACGGTTCGGTTGACCGAAAAGGGATGTCATAAAATAAAAGGCACCCGAAGAGGCGTGACCCTCAATAAATTTATTTGTGCGCGAATGATGCAAAGAAAGAAGATATTGGCGAAAACCTGAGATAATTTACAGTAAACGTACCTGTACATAGGGCTGAATTGGTCGCATCTTGTTCGTAACCATCATGGCAATTACACGTGAATGAGCCGATTGTATTTGTACATGTGCCTGTTGGACATCCCACTCCATTTGTACATTCGTCTGTATCTGTCAACAAACAGCAACAATTTAACGATCTTCTTACTGGAGCGTAGAAGAGAAAAAAAGTGGACGAATAAAATTCATAAAAGTGTTTTCTATGGGGGATTTTTTGTCAATAGTTTATAGAATTATTTGAGACCACTTGAGTGATATCCAAACAAGTTTCACCCTCTGCTACAACTTGACTGGTCACTAAATCTACCCGACAGTTAACTATACACCGATACGGATACTTACGAACCACCTACCTATGCAGGAAGAAGCATCCAAGGGGTCCTGTTCATATCCTGGTCCGCAATCACACGAGAAAGATCCCATGGAGTTGACACAGTCAGTGTCCACGCTACACGAAGCAGCTCCATTCAAACACTCGTCAATATCTGCAATGAAACCAACATCAACATGCCAGCAACAATTGATTCTAAGTAGCCCACTCAAAAATGACAGTTTCCGCAAAAATTAACCCCTCTGGCGTTTAATTCGCAAAAGTAAAAACGAGTGATCTGACACTCAGTTGAAAAAATAATACTGAGCACCGGTAGAACGGCTAAGTAATTTGAAATTTTCACCTATTAACTTTTATTGATAAAATGCACGCAAAAAAAACTATTTTTATAGAAAACATAGCCAATAGATGGTTGGAAATAAAAAGAACAAAGAAACTTATTTCACATTACAGCTCTTTATTTCACATTACATAGCCAATAGATGGTTGGAAATAAAAAAGAACAAAGAAACTTATTTCACATTACAGCTCTTTATATTTCAAGACTTGTTTATGGTTGAAATGGGGCCTAGGAAATTAGACGATAAGCAAATTAGACGGATACTACAAAAACGAAATTAGACGGAATTTATTTTTTACAGATCTGGCATTTTAGACGAAAAAGCTATGAAAAGGAAAGGGCCAACAAAATTTTTTCTTAAGAGTCAAGTTTCACAAATACAAAAAGAACATAAAATGTCAATACCTATCAAAACAATTAGTTCAAATGAACATAAAATGTCAAATCTGAATATTACAGGAGAGTTTTGAATTGAATAAATTATGCATGATTGACTTGTAAAGTTTTTGGCCACCGAAATTGAACTGTTGTCTACAAATAATTTTATTTTTCTAACGCAATTTGTCTGCAAACAAAGTTAATTTCTCTCATTTTCGTCTATTTTCTCACAATTGCAGTTTTGCAAAACCGTCTAATTTCCTTTTAAGTACCTCCGTCTAATTTGCTTATCGTCTAATTTATCAACCCCCGGTTGAAATTTTTCGAACCAAGCCCTCCAAAGTTGAAATTTTACTATTAGCTTATGAGGCGGCTTATTTTATTTCGCTAGCTCACGACTGAAACAATACTAGGCGACAGTAATTACTCTTTCAGTAAGCGGATACAACACAAACTCTTACAAATTTTCACAAAACTCCAAAATAAACATATTCTCTAATACCAAAGACCCGGCTATCATAAACCGGATACTTAAAAAAAAAGCAGATAAAACGCATACACTCAAATACAGATACTGAACACAAAAGCTTAACTCAAATTTGAACAATTTGAAGTGAACTCTTTTTGTAACACAAGCGTTTGCTTCTGTAAAACATAGCCAATCGAAGATTGGAAAAGAGTAATGAACGCAAGTAAACATAAAAAACACTGACTTTGTTGAAAAAATCTCTTTGTTGAAACTTTCGAATTTCAAAGAAAAAAAAATAGATGCCCTGTAAGCTCATTGAATTTCTAGAACGATTTATGATTGGCGCTTTTTGATAACATTAACCCAACTTGAGAAAACTGGATCAACAGGAAAGTTTTTATTCCGCTGGAAATCTAAAATTAAATTCCTCTTTAGAAACTAGAAATCGTTCACGAATTTTTGCACCATTTTCACGTTCGTATTTGGAGAGTGGAGAGTGCTATTTACGTCACATTCACTAGATGAATTTTAATTGAACTCAAAAAAGTGCATTGAGAAAAAGTGCACCTAAGCGCATCAATATTTAAAGACTTTTTCCTGAAACAAAAAATAAAAAAGAAGCAGCAAGACCTATATAAGAGTCTTCACTACGTTCATTACTCTTAATATCTAAAGAAATTTTCGCAACTAAAACCTTGTGTTGATTGGGAAAAGTGGTCTCGTATTAGAATACTTGTGGAAAAACGCAATCTCAATTTAAAAAATAAGTTTCAATCAATTTGCCTGCAATTTAGTCAAGCTGTGCTAAGGTCTGAACTAACTTCTTCCCAGGCAATTCTAAAACACAGCCAGTCAAGGAACGCAGGGAAAAAATCGACTTGTTGTTTGAAAAAAAAATAACTTTTGAGCTTCAGAGTAAAATGTATGACCGTAAAACTCAAGGACACTTTATTACTGAAATTTTCTGATAAATTGAGTTAAATTTGACAACAATGGATCAATTGATAAAGTTTTGATTCAGCTGGGAAATCTGAAACTTTCGACATTAGAAATCGATTACCTCGATCACAAAAAAAAATCTGAAAGCCTGTAAGATTGTTCATTACGTTCATCGACTATGAACACAGAGGTGAAGCTGCGCTTCGCAAACACATGCGAGAACATGGCCAAAAAGCAGCTCTATCAAGTGAAAAACTCGGCTACATGTAGGATTCGAACATGCGACCAACTGGAATCAAGAGATTTTGAGTCTCACGCCCTGCTGTCTCGCCCACCAAATCTTAACAACCGGTAAACAGTAGTCATAAATAAAACAGCTACATATGCTAACAAATTGTCAAAGCATTGCAGCAACAGTGGCACCAAATATAATTAGACTCAATTATGCAAGTAATAATTTGGAATATAACAAACTGAAGTCATCCACACTAACTTACAGTAACAAATCGCAAGTCATAAAGCCACTTTATGTATAAATTATAAATTTCAAAAAACTGCGAGATATATTGAGCTAGAAAATTTCTGAAATTGACTTTTCATCATTGTTACGTTGTTTCAAACAAATCTTTTTTTTTCGGTTCATTTGATGAATTAAAACGCATCAACTGTGTTAACTTATAACTATTCAAATGTCAAAGCTTATGCTACAAAAAAACTGTAAATGTGCCCCAAAAGTGGCACCAATATTTGGGACTTAGGTTCGAAACATAGAAGGTTCGCACATATGCACTCACTTGGCAACATGCTTTATTGGAACTTGCAAGAAAATATCATAAAACAACATTAACCGAAAAAGCAAAAAATTCAGCGAAAAGCAAAAACTACTTAGCTTACCTAGATTTGAATTACAAAAGAAGCTTGAGAACGAATTGAGAAAGCGGCTATATAATCAGTATCAAGGCAAAACGTTATTTACCAAACTGACTGATATACTTCTAAATACTTGAATAAGCAGATATTAACTTGTGGTTTTTTTACCAAAGCTGATAGCTTGATCACTTAAATCTTGTTCGTATCCAGTTTTACAAGCACACGTGAACGATCCCACTGAGATTGTGCAGTCAGAAAACGCTAAGCCGCAGATTTAAGGGGGTCTTTAAAAATGAAAAGTCAAAAGATACATTCCGGGTCTAATTTCGGTTATTTGATAACAGTACATGCTTATAGTAAGAGTCCTCAGTCGACCATAGCGACAAACACTGTCTCTCCTTGAGAGATGACTATTCACCTTAATCGATTAAAACATTTAGGTTTGTTATACATCTAGTTCTTTAGAAAAAGTTTAAAATGACATGGAAAACCGTCACATCTCGGAAGCTAAGAGCAATTGAGCAGTCGCATTTAGACAACAAATTTTCAACTCCCGAAAGTGGGCTCACAGTACCCTACTACAGCATTGCAAACTTCAAATTTTGTGAAACTTCAAACTTAAGTTTTTTAGAAGCTTTTTTAAGAAAAACCATTTGAACGTCTTATCTTTAAAAAAAACAAGAATTGGGAGGCAATTTTCACAACCCTTGAAAGCACTCTGACTGCGCCCAACTACAGGTTTAGGAATTTCAAAAAAAAATAAATTTGAGTTTTCTGAAAAGTTTTCGAAAAATCACAGAAAACGTCACATCTGAAAAACCACAAAGAGTTGAGCAGTCATTATTGAAGGAAAGGTTCGCAACCCCTGAGAAACTCTGACAGCCCCAAACTACTGAGTTAGGAATTTCAAATTCTGAAGAAAAACAATTGAACTTTTTAAAATCTAAGTTTTCCGAAAAATTAAAAAGAAATAATAAAACACGTCATATCTCGAGAACTACAAGAATTTGAGCAGTCATATTTGGAGGCAAAATTCGCAATCCTTGAGAGTACTCTGACAGCATTCAACTACAGGGTTGGGAAATTCAAGTTTTGTAAATGTTGTAAAAATCACAAATCGTCGTATCTCGTACCTTAAAAGGATTTGGGCATTCATAGTTAGAAACCAAAATCGCAACCCCTTAAAGAAACCTGACAGCATCCCACTATTGAGCTGCTTATTTTAATCTCGGTGAAATAAACAAATTCAAGCTCGAAAAACGAAAATCTTAACCATTGCAAAATACGATATAGCTTAAACGTGAAAAAAATTCATTTGTTAAACATGCAAAACTAATACGTTCAAAAAGCTTAAATATGGCCAGATAAAGAAGCCCACATTTAAATATATAATAGAACCCTTGTATTTCATATTATTTTGTTGAAAATTACTAGAATAATTTCTACCATCAATACCAAGTAGATTAAATCTTGAGTGAAACTTTGCAAGGCCCTTTTTCATCTATGGGACGCCGCAAGAACTCACAGCACGCATCCAAAAAAAAAACAAGCTCAATAGAGAGTAAAATATTTTGATCTGCGATAAGCATTGTCCCGGTTACCATTCATGTCAACTTCGAGAAAGCCCATTTCTACGAACGAATTTTTAACTTCATCGGAGAGCTTTTTAAACTTCAGCTCACAAAAACAGGAGTGACCGTAATTCTCTAGCACTTAAGCCATGTGAATAACCTATTCCGACACAACCACAGGCTATGTTTTTGTTTTATTCAAAATTTTTCACTTTCGAAGGTCAAAAAAATATCCATTAAATAATGATGACATACCATTACACTGAAACGAATCGCTTGGATCAGTCTCATAGCCTGTAGTACATCCACAGTTAAAACTTCCGACCGAGTTGGTACATGTCTGTTGACAATTGCCATTGTTCGTGGCGCATTCGTTTGTATCTTGCGAACAGTCGGCTAGCTGGTAGCCTGCATTGCAATTACATGTATTAGATCCAGAAGTATCACACACCCCATTAGTTGGTCCGTTGCATTCTGAATCGACGCTACATGTGCCTGAAACAAAAATATAGTTGCCAGGCTCGAATATATTGCTGAAAAGTAGACAAAGTTCATCAAATCAGCTATTGAATTTTAACTTCTTTTAGACGTGTTCACCACATTTTAATTGTTGTTTATATTCCAGTGCGTTTTATCATAACTACTTGGTTTTGTGGTTTGTTTGGACCAGATTATTGAGATTGTTGCATCGTTTTTAAAAACAATGTTCTCGGTTTGTGGTTTCATATTTAGCACTGAGAATCCGTTTTATTTGCTTCAAGTTTGTATCCAAGCTTTCAAGTAATGATTGATGCATTGTTTGACAAGCGCAAACGCACCACTTTCTAAACCAATTCAAAAATATCACATTTGAGTGATTTTATGATTTTCTGAAAACTGCGCAAAATTGCTTCATAACTACAAGTAGTCTATCTGCTGGTAATAAACAGCTACGCAAATATCCAAAACAATTTTTAAATTAGAATAGAATAGAAACTATCAAGACAATAAAATGAATCCGATTTTATAACTAGAGTAATCAAGTGTTGACTATTTTAGTGTTCGCTGAAGTACAATTGGTGGTAAGCCGGAGGATTCATCAATCAAGTATCACTGTCTAAAATTAATGAAGCGTTAGTCGGTTTTTCCAAAGTGCTCATTTTATTGGAATCATTTTTAGGAGACGCAATCTGTCTCGAGTTCCTATTTGAAGCTGTTTTCTTGGCCTTCTTTTTGCTCTCGAGTAGTTTCACGTGCAGGTAGTCACTCGCAGGTCGTTTCAGACCGAACCAGTTGAATACTGCCTCAGGCGTGTTGTCTTCTACCTTCAGACAGTAGTTGCCATGTTTGGCATAGTTGTGGAATAGAATCTTCTTTAACTGGTCTTGGGTCGGTCGCTCCAGGTCGTTTTGCGTCAGTCCGGGATACTTGGAATCTTCGTCTCCTGAGTCTTCGTCACTTTCGTCTTTTACTGTACGACCTGTAATAAAACGGTACGTTAGATTTACTTTTCCGCTTACCCACCGACCAATAACTCGAAGCCGGTCAAAATACGCATTAAATCCGTTGCCAGTGTTGGCAAAATTGTGTTTTTTTTCCATAAAAAACGTTTTAAACGTTTAAAACGTTTTAAACATGTTTAAAACACCTTTTTTCCCAGATCAACGTATAATTGCTCCCACGACATCTCAAGTGTTAAAAACTGGAGTACGAAAAATTTATTCGAAAATTCTTATCAAAATTTTTCGTTTAAAACTCGCAAGCAGAAGGCTAGTTTTCCGACCTTTTCCGGTGCTAGCCTGTTGCGTAAATCAGAATGCACAAAACCCATTGAACTGAATACCCGCTCCAGTCCGGCCGACGACGGAGCAATGCTGATCAGAGTCACAGCCAACTCCACAAGTTCTTTTTCCAGATTTCCGAGAATTTCCTGTGACTTGTAGAAATTTCCCAGCTCACAGTTCGCAGAACCGTTGCTTTTGAAAAAAATGGAATAGTTGCAAGTGACTTTTACTGAATATAGCACAAACTAGTAGTTCATGCCCAGTGCTAATGCAACTTGATCTTAAGTCAAAGGACAAGGTTAAACACAGACGAAGCTGCACCTCGCAAACACAAGAGAGAAAACGGTAAAAGTTAGCTGTAAAAGGGTCAAAAAGTGCAAGAAAACGTAAAACTAATGAAGTATCTGCATGTACCGTAATCAAACCCCCGACCTCGAATTTCTGAGTCACCCATCCCAACATCTGCGGCATGATCGCCAGCAAACCAAATACAAATATACAATGCTATGCAGCAGTAAAAAAAAAGCAGATAACGCTATTTCTGCAAACATTCCACCAAATAAATGAGTTGGGAAACAATGGACTAGCCTAATATGACACTAAACTCACTAGCTCATTGTGTAAGAAAATTAATTTAGTAACAAATAACAGCGACTATTAATCATAGTTAAAATTGCTTAATTAAAAAAGGGTAGGATGACAATTCGTAACAGGCGACAATTCGTAACAAGCGACAATTCGCAACAAGCGATAATTCGCAACAAGCGACAATTCGTAACAAGGCATTGGCCAGTAGAACACGCTTGCTTCGCTTCGCTGCGTTTACATTCGGCACGAGAAGAGTACTCGCGTGAATCAGTGCTCCCCGCTTCATCTACTGTTACGAATTGTGGCTTGATACGAAGTGTCTCCTGTTACGAATTGTCGCCTGTTACGAACTTTCGCCTGTTACGAATTTTCGCCTCATGATAAAAAAGATGCTTTGAAGACAAAATCTTTACTTAGAAAAGTATGCTGTCAAAATTTTATAGACCAACAATATTGCCACAAATTATTTTCTCACCCAAAGCGTCGACTTTGTAGTCTGTTGGTCTCTCCCCGAAAAAGACTCCATACTTCTTCTTATTCTTGTCCACTACTTTCGCATATTCCTCGATCAGAAATGGCTCGTATGGCTCCCCTGGTCTATCTGCATTCGGGAATGTGAGACTGGTGAATGCTGCGGTCCCGTCAATACTTACTGGCATTGTTTCTATCTTAGGTAATGGCCATTTTGCGCTTTCGTGGTCCATTCCCTCTGGGATTCTCAGTCCAGCTTTCTTCAATTTTTCCTCATCCATCAGTCCCGATTGCAGAATTTCGTCCCTTAATTCGTTCAAATAATAGAATGCTTGTCTTAAGAATTCATCGGGCTTCTTCGCTGCCTCTTCTTCTATATTTGTAATAATAGAGTAAGGGTAGTAAAGAGACTGAACAAAGTGTTTGAAGTGGCACATGGGGTACGCGACTGCAGGGAACATGGGCGTCGAAATTGATTCCAGGGAGTCTGTCACCACCGGAGGATCTGGCAAATTTGGAATCTTCTTGTTTAATTTGGGGAACTTAGGCTTCTGGTACCAGCAGCTAATCGAAACGGCGAATCCTACAACGACATATTGAGGTTCCAGGTAAAATGTTCAAGCATGATTTTTTGAGAAACCAAAATTGAAAACGGGTTTTTATCTAAATTGAAAAATTTTGGCCGAGTGGTACATATTTAATGAAATATATTAATCAAGACAACATGCCTTCGTAGCACTGTACTGGGTTTCCGTGCTGGTCCACGTATTGCACTTGCACAGTGATGTGTTCCCCCTTGTAGGCGCGGAAGGGACCCTTGTTGAGAATCTGGATCTTGGCAGGCCACACTGATGGTCTGCCCTCCTTGAACTCACCCGAGATGATGAAGCCGTCTGTGTTGCGGTACTTGCCCACTCCATGTGGCAGGTTCTTCTGCCAACCTCCCACATAGGAGGCGGAGTTGCCATACAGGAACATACCTTCGCCCTCTTTCAGTCCATTCGAGAACATGCCACTAAAGTAAAATCAACCATAGCCAAGTGTCAATCAACTCAAGGAATCCGAAAAAAAAAAACGAATAATTTTCTTGAAGATTTCAGAACTTAGGGAGTTCCAAGAAAAAAAGCATCAAGTTACAGCTCTATGAATTTTAAGAACTTTCGAAGTTTGATAGTTTTTTCATAAAAAATAACCTAATAAGAGGCAATTTGGTTCCACCGGGAAATCTAAAATCCACTTTCGAACCTAAAACATTCACATTTTTCGCGACGTCTCCACTTTTGTTATTCGAGAGAGCATTTTGCCGTCTTTTTGGAAGTCAAAATGACTCGAAGTGAAAATGCCCAAAATCAAACTACTCACCGGTAGAACCCAGTTTTGTCCTTCGCTTCTCCGTATCCGTGTCTCAGATTGCCCTTGAAGCCCCCTTGATAGTAGTCCCCATTGGCATACATCAACTTGCCCTCCCCGTGCAAACATCCCTGTTTGAAACTACCCACGAATTTCTTCTTCCCATTCTCCCACACCTTCACTCCCCTCCCGTGGATCTCCCCGTTGAGGAACATGCCCTCGTAGTAGGAGCCGTCCTTCATCGTCAGCTTACCCCGTCCGTGTTTCATTCCGTTGTACCACTCACCCTCATATGTGTAGAACTTATTCGAATACTTGTAGCGTCCTGCAATATAAAAACCAGCTGTAAGTCTTCAAATCTCAGAAGACAAGACCAAAAACTCCGACAACTGTATATCAAATTAAGATAGAGAACCTGGTTGTATTAATGCAAATCGGGTAAGGGAAAGCTGCTCACTAACCTAGTCCGTGTCGCACCAACTTGGCCGTCTTGTCTCCTTGGTACCTGTCAATCAGTCCAATAACAGATTCGCCGTCCTCGCAGTCCCTCTTCTTGTAATTCGACTTACAGAAACCCGAACTCAATTCAATCAACTTATTCAGATGTGTGTGGTATTCACTCGCATTTGTTGCGTCATGTCGCAAACTTTCTTCGGGAGGAATCGGTGAACTGGCTGTTACGTAACTTCCGTCGTTTCGTTTTCTACCTCGTCTAGTTCCAACTGCAGCTGTATTCGCTCTCACCACTCCACCGTCGAAAAGTGGCGGCAAATTACTCGACAATTCGTGCGATGCTGGCATACGTCTGTACTCATCTCTTAACTCTCTGAATTTCTTCTCTGACGTCGATAAAATTCTGTGATCGAACACCGCTTCCCTCCACAGAGGACTGCGAGGCGTGACACGTCTATGAAGATACATTCTTACGCACCAAACGCAAACCAGTCAGAAACAAAACTATCAGAAAATGAAAACTACTCACCTGTAAGGCATCAGAGAATCTCTTGTTGTCATGTCGATCAATTCTTTCCGCTCTCTTTATTTTGCGAGAATATAATAACTAAAACTCTAGTCTAATTTTTCGTAGATGTTATTACAGAATACATATTCTAGCGTTTGATGATAGTACTGTCTAGATAAATGGTCTGTCCAAATGAATACAATCTGGCCCACGAGTTAATCAAGTAGTCGTGTAATTTTTGCCGGTGTTTCAAGTTTTTATAACAATTCTGATTTTTCAAAGACTGCATAGTACAAAGATTAAAAAACAACATCTTCGCACAAGCCAAAAACAAATAAAAAATATCAATTGTTTTTTAGAGAATCCTTAATCACGGTTATAAACTCAAACTACATATACTTCAATCGTAATAAATTTTCAGTATTTGGTGATATCTCTCATAGTTTTACGCGCCGTTAAACTTGATATAAATCTCGGTGTAATAATTTAACAACTCAGCTTTAAAATTTTTGCTTAAAAACAAAATGTCTACCCCAAGTAACTTCATACCAATAGATAATAGACCCATTCATTTTTGCAATACATTACCAGATTGCTAACATATTTCGATGCGTCAAGTTCTTTGCCCTCAGACATAAATACCTAGTTAACAGACGGTTGGAATGTCTAAAAATCCACTTTCGAAACAAAAAATTATTAAGGTCGTTTTCCAGGCCATTAGAAAGCTTGTTAGTGGTGGAGATTTAAAAAGTCTTCTAAATGTCGAGAAAACTAAGAATTATGAAGACTAAAATTTAAAGTTCGCCCAAAGTTCATTTGAGTAAAACATATCAAGATAGTTAGTTGACAATTCATCTACCCTCAGGAAATACAGACCTATAAAAACCAAATAGAGCAACGCATAAGCGGTGAATTCGCTAAGCGATGATTTAGCTATACAATTTCAGCTATTTTATCGCATGAAAAAAATCACAGTTAAATTTCAGCTGACTGTTTCTGCTCACCTACGACAAGGAAAAGATTGAACAAAGCATTTTAAACCTTTTTTCGATTGACATCAGATTTTTATTTGCACCTGTGAATCAAAATCAACAGGTACCTGGAAAAAAGGCCAATGAAATCAAATTTCCAAGATTAAAAGATCAAACTACATACACAAAAACCAATTTACTTTCATGATTAATTCAAGAGTTAGCGCAAACCCAATTTAAGAAAAGGATAGCCGGTTATTGTGCAAGTAGCACAAAATGTTCCGGCCATAGTCATAACTTAGTGTCGTTTTTTCGGTGTGGTGAGATAAAAGGAGCTGAACGGAGAACTATTTGGCATATTCCACAGTGTTAGTAAAATAAGCAAACTGAAAAAAAATTCTTTAGAAAAATGACAAGAAAAACAAAACATCGATTTTTCCATAATAAATTATTCTCAAAACTAAATCATTTTCAAAAAACTTGACCAGAAATTAATCGAAAACACGCTAGGTAAATAAGCCGACAGAATTCAAGCCAACGCCCAATAAGCTGAAAATCATAAAAAACTATTTCGGTATCAAAATCACATGAGAATGTCTCGCATAAACCACTAAAAAATCTTGAATCCTTAATAGGCGGTAGACAATAGGATGGAAGTGGTACACCAGTAAGTGTATTATCAGAATTAGACTACCATTTTTCTAAATTGACCATTGTGGACAAAATTATTCACGGGAACAAGTCTAGTAGCCCATTGTCGGTTACAATACCCTTGCTAATCACCAGGTAGAAATGAAAAATTGCATTATTTTTTTTTCTTATTTGGAGAAAATATCAGTTACCAGCAGCGGCCAAATATATTGAAAATTAAACTTGAAAACTGAATCACGGCTGAAACGGCTATATTATGATATCACACTTGATACCCTGTAAGGCTCAATCCATGTTTACTTTCACCACCTTGGGGAGTTTGTTTGGAACAAAAAAGAACGAAGTTAATAAGCAAAAAAAAACAAGGACCTCAACATGAGAAAACTGAAGATAGCAGCGCATTGCAGCCTAACAAGGATAAACAGCCAAAATTGAAGATAGCAGCGCATTGCAGCCTAACAAGGATAAACAGCCAAATGAAAAGGCTTTAACTTGTTATATCATTAAGCAATGTGCGACGTTTTGTTTATGATACCTGAGTCGTCTAATAAAAAAACCTCCGAGTCTAAAATTCTTTCACACGGAACCAAAATCGAACTCAATTAATATGCAGGTGTAATTTGATATTGCCACTCAGCACTGGCCGACGCCTGAGTCTTACTACGAGGACAGCGCGACGAAGAGCTGACTTCGAAATATGGATTAGCAAAGCCTAAATGAGTACAGTGCTGAAACGCTATTCATATAACCACACATGTGGCATACCCCAACTATTCTGCCGTAGACAAGGGCACTACGCAGGGAATAGCGAAAACAACTCCAATCAACTTGAACTTCATCTCCTATGGAGATGAAGTGCTGAAAAACGATGGCAACCAAGAACCGAATCAAAACGAAGCTCTCCCACAAAATCCAGCATAGCTACAACAACAGAGGACAGTACAATTAGAGAGACAACAATATCACTCTTATCGTCTATGAGCTAAATGGTTACTAACAACAACAACAACAACAACAACAGCAGCAGCAGCAACAACAACAATGAAAGGGGATTGAAAAATTTTCATTTTTTGACATTTTAGTTGTCTAATTTTTAGTTAGTGAAAACGGAATGGATTGGTTAATTAATTGTAAGATGTTCTGAGTAAATTATAGAAAATGAACAACTTTGAAGAAAAAAAACTTAGTTTAAAAAAAAAACGAACTCGTATTATGACTCAAGCATTTGCATGTGAACATAAGCTGGAAAATAGTACAATATTTGTCCTCTCCCATGACTAAATTAGTTTCAGAAGCAAAAATTTTCCACGACATTGAAAGAGCTTTTCCAAAAACAACTTTTTTGGCATCCGTGTCAAAACTATTTAAAATAATACATACCAAATGATACCTTTTCACAGGGTTAAAGAATACCCTTTTCTCATATATACAGAAAAACATATACTCGGTTGAAAAATTCAAGAAAAGCCAATTTCAGAATTCTGTAAATTCAAGCTAATTCTTTCAAATCATAAATTTTCTCTGTATTGAGACTAACCGGAACAAGAGAAACCATCGATCAGCAGAATCTCTCCAGGATCAGAGCATGAACACGTATATGATCCTGGCGTATTAGTACAAATATCGTCACACGAATTCGTATTCAAAGCACATTCGTCCACATCTAAAATGAGTCTCTAAATTAATTTATCGAAATTAAAATAGAGTTTCCACCCACCCGGTCATCACTGTCCGTGATATTGCATAGCTTGATATCTCAAAAACTGGAAGATTTTGTCAGAGCCAAGGGAGATAACATTTCGCTATCTGCATCGACTCGAATTTTGGCTTAAAATTTACATGCAAAACAAACACGCACTAATGGGCAGGATTGATCTGTTAACGGAATCAATAACAAACAAAAGAAGTATGAGGATACAGTAGTAAACTTGGCCCATTAAGCACCATAAAATATTTGGCAATAAATTAAGCAATATTTGCTCATTGAATGAATTCGTTTAACTCGTTGTCTCACCCGTGCATGCGTCTGTTGTGTTGGGGTCAAATCCACTTCTGCAGGAACAGGTGAAAGAGCCTGGTGTATTTGAACAGGTGGTGGACACATCGTCACACGTGTCAGATCCCACATCACACTCATCCGTATCTGAACGCACACGAATTCACTACACTTACACGTAAACGTTGTCAGTTTTATGTATTTAATGTTAGTGTCAGACGGTAAAAGCAATGCAATTCATAATACAATCTTTCCATATTTTTAGGATAAGTTGTGACAACATGAACTTCACCCACAGCCATATAAATAATGTTAAAACTAGTTACAAAACAGTAAGGAAGTGCTGAACTTGAGCTAATTAGGGTCGAAGCAGTTAACTCGTTTTAGTGACTCTGATTTTAAGACAGTTTTATCTGTTTGAAATTGGCGCCTTTTCAACATCAGGTCGAAATTCCTCTTCAAATAGATAACTTACCGACACATGATCTGAAGTTCAAAGCGGAAACTTCATATCCTGGAGCAGTACAGCTGCACGTGAAGGAGCCCACAGTGTTAGAACAAAAGTCCTCACATCCTCCATTTGAGGTGGCACATTCGTCAAGATCTGAAATCAAAAAGTTCCCATTCAGCTGATCGAAATAAGAAGATAATTTAATTCAAGTTTAACAAAAGATTTTTGCTCTTTACGAAGAAAGATTTTCGCAAAAATAGGAGTTAAGATCGAAATCAAGACACTTTAACAAATCGACCAGTTTTCATTCGGCTGTGACCGAAGGATGATGACATTTTTTTTAGTTCGAAAAAAAATTTGGCTTAGAGGAAATTGAGTCCTTCACTACTCAAGTGAAGCTTTCGGACTGCTCATACGCCGCAATATATCATAACTGAACGACCAAAAACAGCTCTTAAAGCCAAACGGTTGCAACTCATCGAAGCAAATCCTTGAGCACCATTAGAAAGGATTCTTTTCGCAAAGGAATTCTTACAATCTGCATTACTAAAAAAATGAACAAAATTTGGGCTTGTTTAAAAACTCTAACTGAAATGGCCAAGACCCACCGTAAAGCTTAATCTATCAGAACAGGCTATTGATCAACTGCCATTTGTTTCAGGGTCCTACGCAAAAATTTTGCTTATTAAATAAACATAGCTCTCAAAACAGAGCCAAAACCAATTGGAAAAGTACCAATTGGAAAATTGCCGGCTTCAATCAAACCAAATTTTTTAATTACCTCAGGATTACAAAAAAAGAACAGAAAGCTCTCTTAATTCCAAGAATATTTAATCATCAGCACTTGTTTATAGTTGTTTAAACCAACCAGTTTCCAATCAACTGACCAAAATAGGAAAACATTATATTTTAGTTTTAAAAAAGATTTGCGATTTGCCAAGAAACATTTTTGCAAAAAAGAATTGAACGATCGAAATCGAAATGATTCGTATAAAAAATCAACCAGTTTTCATTCAGCTGACCGAATTATGAAACAAGTATATGTCAGTTTTTAAAAAAGTGTTTTTTTTTGTGCGTAAGAATCAAAAACATTTGCAAAAAAGGATTTAACGATCGAAATTAACATAAACCAAATTAATTCCATTTCAGTTTAAATTCCATTTCATTTTAAAAAAAGGTTTGTGCTCTACAAAAAAATTTCGAGAAAAATCATTTTACGATCTGAAATCAAGACAATTCTACTTACTCTTCAACCAGCTCCCTTTCAGCTGACCAAAATATGAAGACATTTTATTTCAGTTTTATCTTCAGTTTTTATTTCGCGAAGAAACATTTTTGCAGGAAAAAAGGTTGTATAATCAAAATCAAAATTTTTCCAATTGAAAATCAACCAGTTTCCATTCAGCTGAATGAAACATGGGACAAATATATTCTAGTTTTTTAATTAGGGTTATTTGATCTTTACGAGAAAAAGATTTTGCAGAAAAAGAATCTTTACGATCGAAATCATGACAGTTCAAGTTAAATCAGCCAGTTATCATTCGGCTGACCAAAGTAAAAAAAAAATTATTTCAGTTTCAAAAAAAAAATTGCGCTAAAGAAAAGAAAACTTGCACCACTCAACAGGTAAAAATTTTGGTCCATATGGAGTCTATTTCGGCCATTCCACAATCTATCATTGCTGAACGAACAGAAACAGATGTCAAAGCCAAACGACTGCAGCTTAACGGTTTTAACCATCGAAGCAAATGCTGGAGCAACTTAAGAAGGGACTCTTTCGTCAAAGTCAAGATACAATCTGCATTAGAAAAGAATGAACAAAATTTGGGGTTGCTTAAAAACTCAAACTGACATGGCCAAGACCCTCCTTAAAATTCAATCCCTCAGAAAAAAAGCATTCAACTACCATTTTTTTTTCCGTTTCAGAGTGCTGCACCAAAAATTGGTCTATTTGAAGAAACATATGTCTCAAAGCAGAGCCAAAAACCAATTGGAAACGTGAACTGGAAAAAAAACATCAAACCACCAAAAATTCGAAGTCGAAAGAGCATTTTTTCAGATCTTTCCTGAAAAAAAAAACAAGTAAAAATCCTCCCGACCCTTTGTCTTCTCTGCTTTCATTGACACCTAACAAGTTTCGTTGCATATATTTGGAACACTGCACTACTTGGTCTTCGGTAGCGTTCTTGTATATTTTTTGGTGTCACTGATATGAAAAGAATGTATGGAGCATCGTTTGATTTGTTTAAATTTTAAGCAAGGTTAAAGAATCAAATTTTAGTTATTCAAATAAATCACTCGTCCAAATTTAAATAGTGTTTGCGGTCTAGATTTTTCTTCTTGCTGTTTCTAAAAGCCGCGCAAATAACTGACTCTTTTTCTTTCAAAACTCGGAGAGCTGCCATATTGCTTGTTTAGTTCAAAATCAAAATAAGTTAATTTTCTTTCATTTTTTAGTTTCACCCATTTCACCCAATTCCATCTTTCTTTTGTTACCGCCAGGCAAAGGTTGAAACCGGAAATTGTTTAAAGCTTTTGTACCTATAATTGAGAAATGAGAATTATTGATTTTAAACGCCATCTTTCCACGTTTTCCTCGAACTTCATAATTAAACAAGGATAGCCGGTTACTGTGCAAGTAGGACAGAATATACCGACCAGTCTTAGAAAAACGACAAAAACTTTTTTTAATTAGAGTAGCTTTTCTGCGTGGTCTGATAAAAGATCTGACATAAAATAATAATTCAAGCATATTTGACAGTCATAGTAATATAGGGAAATTGGGCAAAAAATTTTTGTAGAAAAACGACTAGAAAAATAGGGATTAACGCCTATAGTTTGACTTTTTTACAAGCCGAGTGGTCAAATTATTCAAGTGATTTTGCTGAACTATGTGTTGACGTGGAAAAAGTATATATACCAATGAGATAAAGCTAGCGTAGAAAATTAGTCTTAATATCAAAAATTGCGGTGAAAGAATTTCAAAGGAATTTCAGCAAAATTTATCGGAATTCAATTAGTTGAACCATTACAAGGATACATCAAAAGGCTTTTCAATTATTGTGAGTGCTGTATAAATCATTAAAAAAAGCCGTAATGTGACAACTTACTGGACAAAAATAAACAGACAAAAGACACCCAAACAATAAAATTTTACGCAAAAAATTTTAGTTTACAAGAAGAACAATCCCAAGCAAGACGCAAACTCTGAACCTTTTTTTCATATACATTGCAGTTACCTCTCCGCTTAATGCTAGAACAAGACGCTGAAAATAATTTTAAAATAATTCGAGCTTTAAATCAAGTCTTAATTAAAGCGACAAAATTTTTAGCGAAACACTTAACATAGAGGCGAAGCGGAGCTTCGCAACATTTGCGATACATCGCAAGCGTAGTATTTCAAGTTAGCGAATAGAAAATGAGATGAAAAAAAAAGAAAAAATGGTAAAAAATGAAATTAAAAAAAACGGCCAAGAAACACAACAAACAGCATAAACTACATTTTTAATTTTTACCAGACGGTTACTAAGCCGAAAAGACGAGGTAGACGCTCATTAAGCCAAAAACAAAAAAAATGCCTTTTAACATTTTGTCATAAGAAATCGAGCATTTAAGTTTTTAAACTTTGAATTTTGCAGCACTCATTTATTAAGTGAAAACTGTATAAATCATAGAAGACCGTGAAGTCACAACTTACTGGACAAAAATAAGCAGAAAAATGACAGCCAGGTAATAATTTTTCTAACTGAAAAAATCTCAATTTACAAGAAGAACAGGCCCTAGCGAGTCGGAAATTCTGGACCTTTTTTCATATTCATTGCTGTTACCTCTCCGCTAAATGCTCAGAACAAGACGCTGAAAAGAAATTTAAAATAATTCTAGCTTTAACTCAAGTCTTAATTAAAGCGGCAAAATTTGTAGTGCAACAATTAACACAGAGGCCGAGCGGGGCTTCGCACCATTTGCGATACAACGCAAGCGCAGTATTGCAAACTAGCGAATAGAAAATGAGATGAAAAAAAAACAAAGAAAAAAATGGGAAAAAGAAAAAGGTTCAAAAAACGGTCAAGAAACAAAAACAGCATTAACTACATTAATAATTTTTACCGGGTGGCTACCAAGCCGAAAAGACGTGGGTAGACGCTCATTAAGCCAAAAACAAAAAAAAATGCCATATAACATTGTTGTCAAAAAACATGCGAGCATTTAAAACTTTAACTTTAACTTTAAAACTTTAAACTTAGCAGCACAAATTAGAAAAAAAAATCTTTTTTGCACTTGAAGCGAAACTAAATACGACCTCTATACCAGTTAAACATTAACCGACACCCTCTAGATCGAATGAATTTTTCAAGCAAAAAGAGGAAAATATACAACTTAGTGGCTATTATTTTTACAAATTACAGGAAAACGATGAAAATTTCTGACAGCACGAGATTATTTTTCGATGAGGCAAGTCAGTTGACCATTTCATTTTACCCGAAAAATATTTTCAATTTCAACATACTGAACCCCAAACAGTACGGCTCGAACTCTAAACATTTAGGTCCAAAAGCAACCGCGTTACCTAGGAATTAGGAAAAGTAAAAAGTAGTCTCGAAGTTTTGAAGGTTCAATTATAAAGTCATTTCATATTCTTACAGAATTGTAAGTTGAGTTATTTTCGGGCAAGAAGTCTAGTTCCCGATCACATTACACTTGCTCTCGCAAGTGTATACAAACACGAATTTATCTTAATTGAACCAAAATTACAAGATCCCAGGCATAAAAAAAACAGGGGTCGCCAGTTACTGCAAGTACCACAAAATGTTCCAACCTCGCTGATTTCAAAATTACACGAAAATGAAGAAACAAGAACTTCAAATTCCTCAGAGCTTTTCAGAAAAGGTAATTGAGTGAGGCAGAAAGAAGCAAGATGGGTGGTAACAAAAACTCAAATAAGAGCACCTATTGATCAATCTGAATATTACTACTGAAATAAAACCTGCATTAGATTAATTGAGGGAAAAAATCAAGTTGCGGACTCCATGATGTTTCCTTTTGCAGATCAGCAAGAGTGCAACAGTAATAACATCAAAAAATCATCCCCCCACACGCCATTTTAAGTACAAAGTGATAAATTTCGCTCCTAGTAACAAATCAATTATGGCAAATAAGCTTCCATCAACCAATCTGGAACGGATTAACTCTCCGCTTACGCGTTAATCGCGCGAAATATATCGCGCGTTAATTGTCCCAAATTGGCCAAAATGGCAACTTTTAAAACCCCTTAACTTTACGAAAAATGATTACAAGTGAAATATTTTTCCAAATTTGAGCTCAGGACAAGAATAAATTTTGAATGATATTTAAAAAATCCCGTCAAAAATGGCTAGTTACAAAGTCGAAATTTGTCTGAAGAAAAGCCACCCCGGGCACAAATATTCAGTTACTTTTGTTACGAAAGTCGGAACAATAATAGTCTGGGTTAAAGTCCTTAGCATTGGCTGTATTTAATAGTGGGTTATTGATCAAAACGAACACTTTCAAAATGAACACATTTTACCGAAAAAATAATTGCGTCGCAACAAAATTTGCGACTTAGGTTGGAAAAAAAAGATAGTTCACACCATAACACAAGCACTGCTGGTGTTAAAATGGAAAAATTAAGAAACACTTTTCCAACTTTTCCTTCAAATTTGCACTATTGAAGTCGATTTCTGAAAAAGGAAAACTCGAAAGAAATGCCTTAACTTGAAAATAATCTAACCATTGCCGCAGTCATCACCAATGTAACCAGAAGCACAGGTGCAACTTCCTACACTAGTACATAAACCACCATTTTGACATGACGAAACAGAGCAGCTGAAGGAAGACGACCATGCCAAACTCCACAAAAGGGCAAAGAAGATTAAAAATTGTAACATACCAGACATTTTTATTTGAAAGTAAAATGAAAACGAATTTTGTATTTGTATGGCAATGATTTGAAATGCAAATGATGAAACTAGCCAGTTAAAACATAAACAGAGATCATCGAACCGTTTAACAAGGAGAAATCACCTGCTCCGTAAAAATATAGACACGCGTACGGAATGTATCCTGCGTTACTGTGGTAATTATGACATGACAATAACTCAATTGCTGTAAATACTGACAATGCAGCCAGTGAAACTCGAGTGTGTGAGTCTACTCACAGATAACTGATAACTGGGCTGAAAATGCAATGCTAGCACAACGGCAAGAACTACCTTTTAGATGTTCCACGAAAAGCTGGTCAAAGTATCTTTATTTAGTCTCGAGAAGTTAAGAGTGCAAAAGGGAAAACAATAATCTACACTACAAGTGCAAAGGCATTGAAAATCAAAATACTTTCAATCTATGGTTTATTCTAATTACATCACTGGGGAATCATAAAAGCGTGTTTCTCCGATAAATAATCCATTCAGCACAAACGCTTTTTCTTGGAACAAGTTGAGCCAATGTTATTTATCGTTATAAACTGAAACACGCTAATTGATGCGAGCCTTAAAACTGGAGATGAATGCGCTGTAGTAGAATTTTTCATTCATTTGAATATTTAGGCTGCCTGCACACTTCGTTTCGGTATGGCATCCATGTCGACAATAACCTTGGGATTTGGCTTCGGCATTGCTAGTGCAGCATCCAGAGTCCCCTGTCTCAGTAAGGCGCTTACTATGGCCGTCCTGTTTCTCTCCGAAGTCACATTGTCCAACTCCAGCTCCAAAATCTGGTAGCGCGATTTACTGAAATAATCAAACTACCAAAAAATGATTTGACCATTTAGGTAGTCCAAAATCAGACACAGAAGCGAAACGGAGCTTCGCATCTTGCGATGCAGAAACGAATGACTATGATTACCACCATAAGAAAAGACAAATCAAAAATTGACAAAAAAACTTCAAAAGCTATTTATTTGTCAAAAAATTATAAAGTGTAAAAAAGAACGAAAAATTACCTGCGCCATTAGAATCTTTACAAAGAACTTTCAAAAAGTTAACAAGAAACCGAACCTTTGTGCGCGATCTAAGCATGCAAAAAATAGCAGACACAAAAGTCTAAAATAAACGAAAACTTTCAGTTTAGACAAAAAACAGGTCCCCACTGGAATCGAACTTCTGAGATTTGACATCAAACATGAGGGTTACCACTGCACCAAAATCACAGAACACTATTTGAATTTATAAAAAAAAACTTATAAAAATTACTAATAAACATGAAAAAAATTAAACAAATAACAAAAACAATAGGCAACACTTCTTTTACTTGCCCAAAACTGGAATACACTGAAAGATTTCTTAATTTGAGTAAAATATGCCAAAAGTTGAGACAAATTTGGTACTGCGGCAACAAAGGCAACAAAATTAGTAGACAAACAGAAGTCCAGAGATTTTTTGACGCGCGGACGATTTTCGGCTCAAACTAAAACAAGTCCTGGCAGGATTCGAACCAATGAGCTTAATCTTTACAGGCAGGTGCGCTAGCTCTTCGACACAATCGAATTAACGTCTCATTTTTGATTTCGAATGAGCTAAAGGTAAATGATTCAAAAACTTCTGTTAAACTAGTTGCTAGCCCGAAAAAAAGTCTATATTCCGGTTTGATAACGCTTGCTAATCGCAAGCGTAAAAAATTTCATATCGGAAATTAAATGGATTATGACCGCTGATAGGTGACAATCTAGGACTTCCTTCGAGTGCACGCAGATTGCCAAAAATTTCTTAGGTTGACAAATAGATGACAAAATTGAATTTCTGAGCGCTCCAATAACACCCTATAGACCATCTTGCAGAAATTTGCCGAGCTGCAGGCGAACTCTAAAGAACAACCAGGCTAAAAAAGCTGTTTTTGGGCACTTTTTGAAAGGTTCTGACCAAAAAACAAACTTGCAAGGGGCGGGGGAAGATTCGCTACCAGGTACTAGATTCGTTACTACTTCAGTACATAACTCGCATATGCTTAATCGAATTGTTTTTTAAAGGAGTGGCAAGTCGCAAGTAGGTACCGTGGGGATGTAGCTAAAGAGATCCAAAAAGTTGTTTCTTGGCTCGCGCTTCTTTACAAAAGGGTTCTCAAGCTTATCACCACGTGTTTCGTAACCCCCTCTCATATAACCCCGAAATCAGATAACCCCACTACAATTTAACCCCTTTTTAAAACCATTTGTTAGAATCAAAGCGAAAGTTACTTGAAAGGGATTCGGAACCATATCGTCGGTAAACATCAAAGCTTTAATTGCGAAAAATTTTTCGAACCAAAATGAAATAACATGCAAGCTGCTAAATGCGTTTTAGATTTGAACAGAAATGACCTTGAAAAAGAATCCGACCGACATGATTCAAATTGGTGCGTATACAAAACGTGTCTGTACAAAACAGTCTCATACAAAACAGTCCAATACAAAACAGTCCGAAAAAACATAGCAAATTACAAAAAAACAGTCCCATACAAAACAGTCCCAAAAATAGTCCAAAAAACAGTCCCATTGATCGAAGTGATAATTGTTCTAGAAGCTGATAAGTAAATTTATCTCATATTAAACTCATTTTGATTCCAACTAATCCTGATAACAATAGGTAGTATAGTAGAGAAATTAGAACAACCTAGATAACAGCCGCGGCCACTCAAAAAAAGCAACAATATTCGAAACATTAAAGTTAACGCAATTTAAGAAAATGGACTCTTTTTTAATCCAAGCAAAAAGAGACAGGTTGTTCAATCTGTTTCATTTGCAAACACTTGACAACACTCGAAATTCACTGATAGAAACGAAATTCACTGTCTATCGATGGAAATCATACTTATAAACAAAAATTCTGAGTTACTGATTTTTGAAGGGTATGTTTATACTTAACACAGAACACTGGCAGACAACTCCCTTTCCTGGCGCTGCGGACAAAGTAGTTGCAAGGGCCGTGTGCGTACAAAGGACAACTCCGTTGAGATCGTTAAAGATCACTGCCACTTCCCCGATCCAGCTGACATCGAAAAACGTAAGTTCAGAAAAACACTTAAAGATCGAGCAGCAGTATCCGATGTAACACCGCGACAGACTATTTTCGCAGCCCAACGTGATGTGAACCGAGAAACAGCTGTTCATTTACCTAGTTATTCTGCTAATCAGTAAGCTGTAAATAGAGTTCGACGCGAAAAAAGACCAAAGAAGGCAGAGCCAACATCGCTGACTGGCTTTGAACTACCACTGGCTCTACAGAAAACCCACGTTAGAGAGCAGTTCCTTCTTCACGATTCTTGTCCCCAAGATGAAAATCGGCTTATTGTGTTCGCCACGTTACCTGGATTAGACTTACTATCTTTATCGGATGATTGGTTCTGTGATGGAACATTTTCGACTGCTCCCAATGTTTTCTATCAGATTTATACTATACACGCTTCTGTTGAAGGATGCCTTATTCCTATTGTTTACGCTCTGCTACCCGACAAAAAGGAATCAACTTATTGTCGGCTTCTCAGTATTCTAAAAGTTGATTCCCCAAAACGCATCACAATTGATTTTGAAGTAGCTGTGCGAAACTCAATAATAGCTACCCATCAGAGCGCTCAAATTCAGTTTTGTTTTTTCCATATGAGTCAAAGTGTCTGGCGACATGTTCAGTCGTCAGGCAATACTCACAATTACAACAGTGACCTTAATTTTCGCAACTTATTCGAATGCTTCTCGCAACAGCATTTCTGCCCGTAGAGGACGTCCCCACAGCTTTCGAGCTTCTGCAAGGTATGGCATCTGAAGAAAGTCAACCGATTTTCAATTATTTCGAGGACACATATACGACAGAAGCCCAGATTTGATATGGAGCAATGGAGTTGCCATGAAAGAGTAAAAAACGACCTTCCCCGCACCAACAACGCTGTAGAAGGTTGGAACAGCAATTTCGTGAAACTGGTCAATAGTAAGCATCCATCATTCCCAAAACTGATCGAGAAGTTCCAGGACGAGCAAAAAAATGCGGAAATACTGTTGGAAAAAATGTGCGCAGGACAAAAAGTAGCCAGACTCAAAAAAGCTAAATACCAAAAACTCGACAAAAACTTGATCACAATGATTAAGTCATATCAACACAACGATATCAATGGGTTTTTGAAAGGATGTAGTTATAATACTGAATTAAAATCAGATTTTTTTTTGTTTTTAGTTTTCACATTTATTCCATATTGCCAAGCAATAAAATTTTTCCAAGTTAATTATTTCCTTGATTTTTCAAAATTGAGCTAGAGTCGATTTGAAACCGGCAAAATAATGAACACATACAAGGTGTTGATTTTTCTTTTCCCTCCGCCCAACCCTCTAAGGTTGAACCCTTTGTTGTACCCTAGATATACCCGTTATCATATTTACCCTAAATTCAACTTTTTTCGGAAAATTGGAAAAAATTTTGTGCCGCCGGAGGTTCGATCCTTTGATCTCTGGAGTTTGAGACTAACGCTTTAACCACTATACCATGAGTCCTTTGATTTTCATCCGAATTACTGTTCCAACTTTGGCTCTTTGATCTTTAATTGCCCCTGTTTGAGTTTTCAAAGCGTAGATCAATTCTGTCGGCGCCAAAAGATCAAGGTCAAGAAATTCAACTGGTTTTGGACTGTTTTGTATGGAACTGTTTTTAGAACCTTTTTTTGATGTTTCGGACTCTTTTGTATGGGACTGTTTTGTATATGCACCATACAAAACAGTCCCATACAAAAGAGTCCGAAACATCAAAAAAAAGTTCTAAAAACAGTCCTATACAAAACAGTCCAAAACCATTTGAATTTCTTGACCTTGATCTTTTGGCGCCGACAGAATTAATCTACGCTTTGAAAACTCAAACATGGGCGTAATTAAAGATCAAAGAGCCAAAGTTGGAACAATAATTCGGATGAAAATCAAAGGACTCATGGTATAGTGGTTAAAGCGTTAGTCTCCAACTTTAGAGATCAAAGGATCGAACCTCCGGCGGCAGAAGCCCAGATTTGATATGGAGCAATGGAGTTGCCATGAAATAGTAAAAAACGACCTTCCCCGCACCAACAACGCTGTAGAAGGTTGGAACAGCAATTTCGTGAAACTGGTCAATAGTAAGCATCCATCATTCCCAAAACTGATCGAGAAGTTCCAGGACGAGCAAAAAAATGCGGAAATACTGTTGGAAAAAAGGTGCGCAGGACAAAAAGTAGCCAGACTCAAAAAAGCTAAATACCAAAAACTCGACAAAAACTTGATCACTATGATTAAGTCATTTCAACACAACGATATCAATGGGTTTTTGAAAGGATGTAGTTATAATACTGAATTAAAATCAGATTTTTTTGTTTTTAGTTTTCACATTTATTCCATATTGCCAAGCAATAAATTTTTTTCCAAGTTAATTATTTCCTTGATTTTTCAAAATTGAGCTAGAGTCGATTTGAAACCGGCAAAATAATGAATACATACAAGGTGTTGATTTTTCTTTTCCCTCCGCCCAACCCTCTAAGGTTGAACCCTTTGTTGTACCCTAGATATACCCGTTATCATATTTACCCGAAATTCAACTTTTTTCGGAAAATTGGAAAAAATTTTGTGTCGCCGGAGGTTCGATCCTTTGATCTCTAGAGTTTGAGACTAACGCTTTAACCACTATACCATGAGTCCTTTGATTTTCATCCGAATTACTGTTCCAACTTTGGCTCTTTGATCTTTAATTGCCCCGGTTTGAGTTTTCAAAGCGTAGATCAATTCTGTCGGCGCCAAAAAATCAAGGTCAAGAAATTCAACTGGTTTTGGACTGTTTTGTATGGAACTGTTTTTAGAACCTTTTTTTGATGTTTCGGACTCTTTTGTATGGGACTGTTTTGTATATGCACCATACAAAACAGTCCCATACAAAAGAGTCCGAAACATCAAAAAAAAGTTCTAAAAACAGTCCTATACAAAACAGTCCAAAACCATTTGAATTTCTTGACCTTGATCTTTTGGCGCCGACAGAATTAATCTACGCTTTGAAAACTCAAACATGGGCGTAATTAAAGATCAAAGAGCCAAAGTTGGAACAATAATTCGGATGAAAATCAAAGGACTCATGGTATAGTGGTTAAAGCGTTAGTCTCCAACTTTAGAGATCAAAGGATCGAACCTCCGGCGGCACATAAAATTTTCCAATTTTCCGAAAAAAGTGGAAATTCGGGTAAATATGATAACGGGTATATCTAGGGTACAACAAAGGGTTCAACCTTAGAAGGTTGGGCGGAGGGAAAATAAAAATCAACACTTTGTATGTATTCATTAATTTGCCGGTTTCAAATCGACTCAGCTCAATTTTGAAAAATCATGGGAAATAATTAAACTTGGAAAAAAATTTATTGCTTGGCAATGTAGAATAAATAGCAAATATTGGTAGGGCTAGTTGAGTGGCAATGTTGTCTGTAATGGGCTGAATGGCGATTGCAACTGCGACGGTTGGGGTGTTACTATCGCTTAGATCCTTGATGTTTTTCAAAACTAGTCGAGCATCAGGTTTGCCCGTGGAAATATCGTGATTATGTTGACCCCTCGGTTCAATAAAGTTTTCTCCATTCGTAATAGCTGTTGCGCGGCATTCATGGGTTCGGTACTTTGAGCAGCGTGAGTGAGGGATTTTAAAGAGAGTTTTAAACGCGTGAGTGAGGGATTATCTCTCTAACTAATCGAAATGCAATTATTTTTGAGATGCTAGAGGCATCAAGTGAATTAAGACTAGCTTTTCACGCCTGAATTAGTAAGCTTAATTGAAACAACTCCTGTACTTATAAAAAGGACTTAATTTGAAACAAATTATCGTCATTAAAAGGGGGTTAAATTGTTGTGGGGTTATCATGTTACGGGGTTATAATATAGGGGGTGTAAACAGAGGGGGTTAACTATCGTAGGGTTAAGGAGTGGGACACCTTACAAAAGGACTTTATATTGGCGGCAAACGTGCGTTCAGTAAAATTTTTCTGCCGGTCGGCCAAAAATGTCGTAAATATTCTGTTTTTTTGGATGTCGTAAAAAAGAACTAAACCCAGCATTAGTACCTGATGATTTTTTCGTAGTTCAGCACTGATCTTGCCCCGTCTTTGCTGAGGGAGGCACTCCTTGCCTTGGGATCCTTCCTGTTGTAGATGAAGAGCATGGGTGGGAACTGGTCCAGCTTCTCATAATACGGCAGCCACCCATTCGCTCCAAAATCATGCTTACCCTTCATCTCCGCACAATCTGAATCAAAAATGGAATAACAGAAAATGCTGCTTTCTTTTCGCTCCGATTTAATTTTTCAGGAATTTTCCGCAGTCGAAGTTCAGTGTAGCAGCTAGAGATCAAATTCAAATCTATTTTGAGGACTCTGAGCAAAAATCACAGTGTTCCATCCACAATTATCTTTTCAAAAATTTAAACTTGTTTTTTTTGGGATTTTAATTGTTGGTTAAATAAGCAAAAATCTGATTAAGATATTTTTCTAATATAAAGTAAGTTGATTATTTTTTTTATTTTTAATGAAGTGCAGAGAATATTTTACCAGTTCTGAAAATATCGAGGCTACAGTTACTGCGACTAACTTATGGGTCCCTTTCAAACGTGGATGAAACTGCCTAACCGAGGAAGACGGCGACGGCGTCCACGTGTTGCAACATGGCCATGATCTGTTTCTCGTCTCTGATCTCGTTGTCCGGTTCCACAATGTGCAGCTTCACACTCTTGTCCTCCCACTCGTAATCTTCCTCTTCAAACCGCTTGTACGCTATGTCCACCGAACTCCTAGCAACAACAATGCCATCATCACAAATAACCATTATCTATTACAGCCCTTACTACTACAAGGTATTGAACGTTGTTCTTCTACTAACTACTCCAAGGCATTGCACGTTGCTCTTACCCATGTAATAAGCAATACAAAACATTGCGACCCTAAAAGCCAAAAGTGTCATATCTCGTTAACTATTGAAAGGAATGACTTCAAATTTGGAGAAAACAACGTGGCTAGTGGAATACCATGGTATATATGTAGCATGAAAAACTTATCGTGTGAAAAACGTGTTCAACGACATGTCGAATTGGCTTTTAACATATTTATACACTTACAGATGAATTTAGCATAGAGGCGAAGCGAAGCTCAGTACTACTTGGGTTGCAAAAATATGCCAGAATAACAACAGAAAAATTTCTGAAAAAAAACTGACATATTTCATATTTTTCAAAAATCAAAAAACTACATGAGTAGGTACGATCTAGCCAATCTGAAACCCTTAGGAACCATGAATAAAACAATTGTGAAAAAGAGGAGAATCGCGACATGTTTTACGGCGTAGTAAACACTACTTCAAGTTTTTCGACATATTGCCATCAAAAAGAATCAAAACTTCATAAAAAAATTAATGAGAAGGCTGTATTTATTGTTTTTGTGTGATTAAAGAGGACGCAAAAAAAACAAAAAAAACAGAAAAATTTCTTGGAGCGCAAATAACTACTTGCACATAACCTTGAGTACTTTGGAAGGAATTTTATTTATACAAAAAGGCTTAAATCTTAAGTTAAGTCCATTCAATGGCAGCCGACAAAATCTAGACGGACAAACTAAAGTCAGGTAAAACAAGGATAGCCGGTTACTGAGCAAGTAGCACAGAATGTTCCGACAATAGTCTATAAAAAACTACAAGATAGAACATTTTTTCAAATTAGTTTTTCTGCGTGAGGTGATAAAAAAGTCCGATGTAGAACAATATTTTAGGCATATTTGACCTTCATAGTATTACAGGCAAATAAGGCACTTTTTTGAAAATTGCCTAAAAGAACAAAAAAAATTTTAAGCCAGAAAACTCCAAAACCTAATTTTATTTGCTTAAAATTAAGTTTTTAGGGCTTAATATATAAGTTTCTCCTAATTAAGCTGTTGTAAGCCTGCTCGCTGGCTTTATTAGCTCGAGCTAATACGAATAATCAAAAATTTCAAACAAGTTTTTCTCAACACTAGCAAAACTTTTCAAAATTTTTAAATGTCGTTCGAATCACGACTGAAAGGGCTTTAATACCCAGTCCAATAATTATTTGTGGTAGCTGGTTTTGCTGGAAAAAAAACTACAACACACCCGAAAATAAAGTTCTAAGGTCGGAACGAAAAATTAGGTCCCGGCCAGTTTACAAAAAAAAAACAGTTCCTGACCGGATTCGAACTACTTACATATATCTTCGCAGGCATGTGTTATACTTCTAAGCTACATATGAACTACAGCCTTGATTGTTAACCTGAAAAAAAACATTCTGATTTGATACCTCGACAATAAAAACCATTAGCAAAGCTGCTCCTGTATTGGGATAAACCACTGACTCTTTTGACTGTCCTTTAACCGGCCTCGAAAAGTTTTTCTCACAAAAGTTAAGAACAGCAAGAACAGCTGTAAATTTTTGACTGCCAATATCAAATATCATGTACTGAAATTTGAGTTGTACACGAAATTAGTATGACCAGCTAGCTTGTCGCAATTCGATATGGACATTTTTTAGTTCGGGATAATTTGGCACACATGAATAATTCGCGTTACGCTTTCAACATTATCGGTAGAATCTTCAAAGCGCGCATGAATTAGACTTAGATAATGGCCAAATTGGCTTTTTTCAAAACCCCGAACTTGCAGTGAAAATATCTTTTTACCTTTGAACTCAGGTAGTCAACATATTCTTTGGGGTGCGAAAAACATGGTCCGAAATAGTCTGAATACAACATACCCATAATTATTCTGTCACTACCTTCGAAAGTCGGAGCAGCAAGAAGTACCTAATCCAGACATAATTGCCTAAAAACTGGGGTTGCTTAGAATAATAGCGAGAGCTAACTCTGTAATTGATGTTCTCGATTCGGAATTACAAAATATCAATATTGGCCCAAACTGTAAACATCTCGAGCATACATAAGAAGAAGAAACAAGGAGTAACAAGCAAAGATCAAAATTTATCCTGATACATCTGAAAAACTTGTATGCTAGGGACACTGACTGTTACCACATGGAATAAAATCATTGGGAGACCAGACCATACCTGTCGTTCAAAGTGACACAAGTCCTCGCAATTCCATCACTGCCCTTCCTCTTCCTCTCCAACTCATTGAACTTCTCCCTCAGTCTCTCGTCGCCTGCCTCGTGGAACAACACCTGGCGGAACAGACTCTTCCCAGACCCCTTCATGCCCACCAGCATTACACGCACCTGGCGCGAGCTGCTGTCCAGGAGGAGACTCTCCAACGTCTCCAGGATCTTACCCAATCGACCATCACTTGACCTTCAAAATCAGTGAACCAATTACATCCCAGATAAAAATATATCCCAATAAAAGGAGATCATGAATGCAAAAACAACTGTATCCATTTTCCTGCGATTAACTTCAACTTTTAAATAGCATGGAAAAAATACAAAACGAGAAATAGTTGAAAGCAATTTCGAGACTTTAAAAAAAGATCAACTCAATTTAAAAAGAAAGCAGTCTGAAATGAATAGAATTAATAAATCAGATAATATGTTGAATTTTGATCGCAAAACGTTCTTGTCACTCAAATCTAACTGTACAAACACACTTACATTGCTGGATTTTGAACGAGGATTTTTAACAAGGACTGGTCAAAGCGGTTTGTTTCAAAGCAAAGTTGTAACAATTGGCAGTTTGGCTCAAATTAAACTGGTTTTCGTTTGAAACATTCTTTGACAGTGGCTAGATCGAGAGTAAAATGGGCTTGACAGCAGCCAGTGCAATTGGGAATGTTGGGAAATAAATGCTCAAGAGCTCGGTGGATTCCAATAAAGTTAGTTATTTTAAGCATTTACACCAGCCACGTTATGCTAACAAAATAGCCGCGCATTTTGACCTCCAGTAGTCCTCTTTTGCTATATGCACTCAGAGGTTAGATTGCAATTGCCTAGGCTACTTTAATTTTCCGGTGAATTTGAATTGAGCGTTGGCAGTTAGGTGCAACACTAGCTAAGTATTAGCAGAGTAAGTGGCTGCATTTCAGTCAGAAGGAACTTCAATTCTGACACCGAGTTATACTTAGCTGCCGCTACAGTGGCCCGTGAAGCTCCATTGAAACACCACTAAAACTGACAATGCGCGGCTGATAAAGCTTCCAACCAAACCAACACTCTCTATATCTAAGAAGAACCCAGCAACGAAATTAACACCATTTGCAATGAAGTCAGTTGCAAACAAAAAAAATAGACGTGGATCTATATCACTCTCTATATCTTAGCAGAATCCAGCAACGAAAGTAACACCATTTGCAATGAAGTCAGTTGCAAACAAAAAAAAATCGTTGGCAATATCCTTTGAGATCAACGAATTGGAACGGGGTTAATCAACCTAAAAGTACTCACTATGACGTCTGAAACCGATTTTTCACTCAGTTCAGAACGTAGCTAGAACGTAAATTAAGTGGCAAAAAATTTTAAGACCGTTTAAGTTGCTCAAGGTCACCGATATAAACCGGGCAGAAAATAACCAGCAAAAACAAACGAGAACTGAAAAATATCCACAATAACTTCAATAAAACCGAAAGAGCTGAACGAGCTTGGTAGGAAACAAGTAAGTTTTATATTAATTTCGATTGGCGAAAGTAAGTGGTTGTATATGCGCGATAAAAATGGAAAAAAAATACCAGTTTAGTAAGTTAACTGTAATTTGTAAACTTAAGTTTATAATTTTTTTTCGTTTTTTTTTCGCTGATTTGTTCAAAAATCAAAGCTCTTTCAGTTACAATAAAAAGTATTCACAGCCCAGCAAAAATCTGCAACAAGGCAACCAAGCCGGCCACACACAAGCAGACACACAACAGGTCGAAAATTTTTCGAAACAGAATATTTCCTTTTGAATAAAGAAGTGCTGGCCTGGTTCAAACACAGAACTTTTACCACCTCAGGCATAGTATTTTCCTCAAACTCCGTGTGTGCCTGAAAAATTAATAAAGTTTGATTTTGATGGGAGCCAAGCTATCATATGTTTTTCTGTAGATATTTTGTATAACAAGAAAATTCAGTGATGCGGCAACTAAGCAGCCAACACAATCAGAATAACGATAGTCATAAACTTTTTTTGAAACGGAATATTTTGTCTTCAAAAACTTAAGACATTACTACCTAAAAGAGCTGTCGGCTCTTTTTCCTTTCCCCATCCCCACCTCACAAAAGCATCAATTTTATAGTGTAACGAGTGGTTTTACAAGGTTCATTATGAAGACGAAATATGTTTGCCATGGCCTTATTAGTCCGTATGCCAATTTTCAAAAAATCGAATAATGTGAACAAACTTTTGATTTGTAAAACTTTGCAGGTGGGGGGATAAGGAAAAAGAGCCGAGCTGTCAGTAGTAACAGCAGACCGGTAGAACTTAAATTTGCACGTGTGCATGTGAATTAAGTCAAGTGATTCATGTAACTTTGTTAAACCAGTTGTTAACCCAAAAAAAGTCGATATTCCAGTTTGATAACGCTTGCTTATCTCAAGCGTAAATACATTTGGAATTTAGATAAAATCAACCTTCAAAGCTTGTAAGACATTGGCAATTACCTGTTTCAAGAAAATCTGAAGTTAAACATTTTAAAAAAGCATTTAGAAATGTTTTATTGAACAAATTCGAATTTTCGAACTTCTGCAAAACAACATAACCAACAGACACAATTGAACAGAAAAACAGAAAAAAATTGGCTGCAAAATAAATCTTAAAATTTTTTCAGTTCCTGCAACAAATTATTATTGAAATAATTTAAATACAATTAACCCAACTTGAGAAAATTGGATCAAGAAGTCTATTTTTTATTTTGCTGGAAAACCTGAAAATTGATTTCCATTTTCGAAAATAAATCGATCAGTTTCGAGACCTTCACACTTTTGCTAATCGAGAGTGGATTTTACGATCCTTTTAACAACACAAACGAAATAAACTGATAAGGAAATCAGCCTTATAAAAAATTTTCCTTTAAATTTTTCCTATAAAAACGAAAAAAAATCTGGGCCTATAAAAGGGTCTAAACTATGTTCATCGACTCTTAAAATGGCTAGCACATTGCTGTGCAAGTAGCGCAATATTCAAACTTTGATTTTCAAAAAAAAACAATATGACCTAAGAGCTCTTTGAATTTCAAGAAAAGTTTTTGATTGACACGTTTTTCGTGACCTTTATGCTTTAGCAGTAAGCAAGTGTAGTTCTCCTTCCTTTTAACGAAAAAGCACTGAGTTTAAGTCACATTGCGTATAACTGAATTTGACCCATGACGGATTTAAAAAATATAACCGCATAAAAAGCAGAAGTTGTGAGAGAACTCAATTGAGAGCTCATTTACAAAGAATCTCATCAGGTCATTTGTAAACTTCGTGTCATTTAATCCAAAAGTTTGCTCAGCACAGACAAGTTTTTAGTTTTTCTCGGGAATCCGAATCAAGACGAAAACGGTTTATTATGATTCCACGTTTGAACTTTCACATGGATTTTCACGCTTTGAAATTGACTCATTTCATTTGAGAAAACTGCATCAATATTTAAAAAATTTCTCCGCTGACAATCTGAAAACTATAATTTAATTTGAGTAAAAAATAGAAAATCGTTTAAATGTACTCATAAAAAAACGTTCACGCCGACATGTATTCATAACTCTAGGAGAGCCGACAAACACAGCCGAAAAAAAACTAACGCATTGTCTTTAAACTATAACAATTTCTTCAAATCGTTAGTTAAACAGAATGTACACATTTAAAAAGAAATACCGTGTTTCTTTTTCCAGTGAAAGGCGACCAGTAAGCTTATAATAAACTTATAAAATTTTTTGATAAACTTATAAAATAGTTGTGATATGTTTGATGTTTGTGCCTGTTGGTCGAGCACCCTTTGCGGGATTTTAGAGACAAGTCTGTCAAGCTGGTCACTGGTCTGGGGCAAGGAGTTCCTGGCTTGCGGAGTCTGGGGGTGCGCCACTGGACCTGCTACGTTAATGTGAGTTCTTTTTTATAAAAATTCCGTCAATATGTCTGAGGACGTAACACAACAAGATGACCCGAGGCTCCACCGCTGTTTGTTGAAACAATACAGGCGCTGGAAAGGTTCGAATCTAAAATAAACGTTTGGTATTAGGATGATGGAAATCAAGCCGACAATTATAAGATAGTTCTCCGAGACACTACAAAAAGCATACTGAAATCGAAAAAATAAGTATGGCTTAAGCAGACATATCTGAGCTATGTTTTCTAGAACCGACCACAAGTACGCACTAGAGAACAATTATAGGTCAGTTTCCAAAAGCATATCCAAAAAAGAAAACCAAATCCAGAGATAAACTTGAAATCTTGGGCTCCCCGATAAGAGAATCTTTCGCAAAGAATTGCTAAATGGAAAAAAAGCTGAGCTGGAAATAATTTCAGAGCTTATTGATAAGCTAATTGCATATCATGGTTTTTACCTCCTAAATAATGCTTTAGCATGCCGAAACTCTAACTTTTGCGTGAAAATCCTAGTTTTTGCTAATTGATTTTTTGGAAAGATAGGATCGGATTTTACGACATTCATTATGTAAGGTAACAAATGTGAAAATAAACGTTAGCCAATTTTTGCAAGCAGTTCTCCGGCAGCCAAGGTGGCTTGGGTGTCTTTTCCGCTCACCTACTAGCTTTACCCGCTTTTTAGCCTCAGCAGTAGGAGTGAAGGATACCTTGAGTGAATTTTTTGGTTTGGAGCACGAGGATGGAACATATGATGCATTAACACTTTGGTTTGATGCACCAAAATGTGAAGTTAGTCCGGAAAACGAAACATAAAAAGTAGGACAGAGCCCCTTTTTGATAACAAACTTTCTCAAACATTTTGAAACTAGAACCAATGGATGTAGAAAGGTTCAATGCTTACCAGGATAAGTTCGCGTCGCAATGGTTGAATGTCATACGGTGTAAATATCTAAGATTAAAATTGTCAAATCAGCAGCTTAGAATTGCAATTGGACTCCGCTTAACTTCAAAATTTGTGAAAAACATGTTTACGGAAAAGTTGTAACCGAAGATTGATGGCATGGCCTCTCTTGTCTGAAAAATCCAGGAAGATTCTCTGGGCATTCAAATTTGAATGCTCATATAAAACAAACTTCCGCCCCCAATCAAATCCCTTCTGTTTTATAACCACAATACCTCCACAGGCCAGATCAGAGGCGACCAAAAGGTTTGACGCTCGTCCCATGGGCAGTTGGTAAGCAGCTTCAGTGGAATGTACTGGTAGTTGACTGTCTAGCCCCTAATAGAATAAGCGCAGACTCGGTTTGTAACCCCGGAACGGCGGCAGCCGAGCCGGAAGATCTCAAATCTGCCAAATATAGAGATTTAATTAATGATGGATATAATTTTCAACGAATAGCTTTTTAAGTTCAGGGTGCCGCCAGCCCTAGCACTGAGATTTTTCTATATAGCAAGTGTACCAAGGAACCCGGGGCAGGTAGTTTTCTCAAGCAGAAAATCTCCCTCGCAAAACAGATTAAGAACGCTGCCTGTGTCCTCGGCACTATGATAAAGAAACTTTCGAGGAATTTTTTTATTAATAGAGCCAAGGCAACAAAAGTGCAGCTTAGTTTAAGTATCTGATAGACCCGTAGCCTCCTACCACGTCAAACTTTTAAAGTTTTATTCATCTCCGGTTTATTGAGCAGGTGTTAGTTTTCTCAATCTGTTTGGCCTGATTCCCAACCATCTGACTCCCTTTTCTTCTATCCACGTTATACTTAACTCTTCCATATCTAGAAAATTCCTAGGATTTTGACTGGAATATATGATGAAGGTACTCCTGACTGTAACCTCGGTTACTATGATACTTTTGACCTTCTGATTATCATGAATCAGAGTTGGCAAA